AGGAAAAGAGGTTTTGAAATTGGAGGTAGGAGAAGATGAGTACCAGTACCAGAAACAAGAAAAGTGAGAAGTAAAAAAAAAAAAGGAAAACTAATGAGATTTAAATCGAATGGTCCCAAATAAATTTATTATTACAATCAATGGATGAAATAAAATCCTAATTTATTAAAAAAATTAAATAAATTTAATTAAAATAAGATAATGTCATATGAAATTCGAAAAAAAGGTTCAAGATTGCCTAGAAAAGCATAAAAGCAAACGAGTTGAAAGTAAAAAAAATTCAGAAGAACATATTGGGCTTGTCGGTTGCTTGGGTCTAGTCCAGCGGTTTACAGTTTTCGGGCCCAGCAACCATAAACCGCCCGACTGGGCCTAGGTCACAATAGAAACCGGGACCAGCCCAACCAAACGCAAGCTGCCCTTCGGGCGGTTTTGGGCTGTTTAATCGGTTTCGGATAAACTTGAGACACAGATTTAAGCTTGTTCGCAGCACTCTGCCTGATCATGAGGTCCGTATCCTTCCTGAGTTGTGTACATTCAGCTTCAATGGCTTCAAGTTTTTCACGGGCTTGTTTTTGTCCTTCCTTGATGCTTTGTTGATCCTTATTGATCTCTTGCATCTCTACTTTCAACCTTAGGAAGCCAGTTCAGATTTTTCATTGCAGACTTTCTCTGCCCAGACAATTGAACACAGAACAGTCAAAACTTTCGTTAAAGTTGTTTGTGCGCGTATATGTTGTTTTACCTTGCAAAAATAACAATAATAACATCAAAAAGTTTAATACAAATATTTGAAGTATAATATAAATATTGTCACCCATGTCTAGTAACTCAAATATAAAACATTTATTTTAGAAAAAAAGATTACTATTAGACTATTTGTTGATCGACCATAATAATAGTTGATATTAAACAACAAATAACAACTAAACTTCCCCTTAAGATTGGAACTTCTGTCTCTAAGATTGGGAGGATTTACCCCACCATGGGGCAACCCAACGTTTCATCACTGCCTTCTCTCTCGCTTCCTCTCCTTTGTTTACACTATAAATTGCAAAAATTGAATATTATGCCACGTGTCAAAAAATTTTAAATAGATAGAGGAGATTTAGTCATATCAAATATGCAATTCTGGACCCCATCATAGATTAGGCGCCACATAGGAAAGAAGGAGATAGAAAGATAAGATTTTATTTTTTAATTACCTTTTTAGTCAAATTAGGTTTGTTTTAGCTGAAATTTAGGAGTTGGTTTCAGTTATGGGTGTGGGTTATCAGATAATGAGACATGTGGTGAAATCTAAAATGAAATCTGACCCTATCAATTGCTGAGGTGTCCCACTTCTTCAATAAACTGTCCACAATTTGTGTAATTGCAAAAAGTGGGAGATTTGTAGTCGGAGAAGAAGAGAACAAAAGAGAAATTTTAGATCATTCAACACATGGCTAGTCCTTATACACAACTTGCAAATTTTCATATTTTCAATTTATCTGCAATTGCTCACTTTTGCTTATAAATTTCGAATTTCAGCACAATTCCTCTAGATTTAGGTTGTTTTTCATCGTCCCAGTAGTCGAATTAGTTCATGTATTTGCTTCAATTATTTTATTTCATATAATGAATTTCAAGCTTTTAAATTTCTGCAACGTATTGTTTTTTTCTTATTGGTGTTAATTTAATGTTTATGATAAGTATCATTTCTTCAAATGATTACTTATATGGCATTCATGCTTCTTCTCAATTTTGAGTATGTTAATTTAGTTTCTGTTTGTGTTTATTTTAGTATTAATTAGGGTTAAATCTCCAATTCTGTAGTAGTTTAATTTTTAGATTTGTTTGTAGATAGCAGTTTAATTTGACAATAAACATGCCTATTTTAATTTGGATGCATTTTTTATTTTCTAATTTATTTTGAGTTACATGTCATTTAGCTTGTTTAGGATCTGTTAACTTTGATTCATAGTAGTGTTTTAGTCGTTGGAGTTGTCTAAGGCAAATTTAGTAACCCATTCTGTAGGAAGGCATCTCTCCCTCTTGCAAATTGTCTATAAGTGCAGATTTTAACTTTAAACCAACGTTCATTCTGTCATCTACAAGGAGGTTGATCGTGAGAAAAGAGAGGCTCGTTGGAAAAATCCTTCTTTCTTGCTTTTAGCAAAATAAGTGGTATGCCCGCACCCAGATTCCACACATGCAAGGCCACTAAAGGATTTTGAGGAAATAAGAATATTTTCATTTACATATCAAATTGATATATAATCAAAGTTAAAAAACCAAATTGGTATTTGTAATTAAAGTTCGAGAACTAGGTTGGTGCTATCTTCAAAGTTTGAGGACTATTTTGCTACAAGAAATTAAAGATTAAAGATAATTTTAGTACTTTTTAAATTGAGGAACAATTTTAGTATAGATTTAAAAATTAAGGGACTAAATTGATATTTTACCAAATATATACTTCTTCATTCATATGGATTTAACCATTTCCGTTTGGCTTTTATATAAAATTTGATCCAATAATTTCACATAGTAAATAAGTGATAATTAAAAAAATTATTTAAATAAAAATACTCAATAAAAGTTATTTATAAATTTTTTTTATTATTATCCATTTATTATATAAACCTATTTGATTAAACTCTAAATAAAAATTAAATTAAGATAACTAGATCTGGCCAAGTGAATATAAGATTGCATTGGTAAAAGAGAATTAATTTATTAGGTGGCACATGGTAAACAATGATCATATCTTGTGGGAAATGTTTCATTTTCTATTAACATAAATTATATAATATTTTCCATTTTCAAAAATTATACTAATATATATATATAAGCCCAAACATGCAGATCACCCCCCTAACTCACCCACTGGTGGCAAATCATCCTCTCAACCCACTTTTCGCACAGATCACCCCCTCAACTTAACTGCAGTGGCAAATCAACCCCTCTGTTGACACCGACACATCCTTCAGTTAGTTTTTAATAGTTTGTTCACTCACCCCTCTTTTGCATCTGATGTGGCATTTTTGTGTTAAGATGGATGCTGAGATGGACAAGCCACCTGGACAAAAGTCGCCACATCATCTCGCCAGCCCTCCCTCTGTTCTTCAAAGGCTTAAATTTGTGAATTTTTACAATTATAGATCACAAGAGTCAATTACTGCTTTTGAGAAATCTTCCCATCTGGATGTGGATTCCCATTCTGCTTTTTAGCGGACACCGATGTCAAAGAAGAAACAGCGAGACGTCCTCTCAGGATTTTTGTCTATGTTGCAGTTTATTAACCTCTATGGCTATTTTTCTCAAAAACCCACTTCTAATTTGTCACTCAAAACCCCAAAACTTGACACCCATTACTCATGGAAGCAAACCAATGAGTAAGAACAATCCCAATTTGAAGAAGAAGAAGAAAAGGAAGAACAAGAAGAGGAGGAGAGCGAGCAAATACAAGAACAGAGCCCTGACGAGGTGTATAATAACCTGAAGCAAAACCAAATTACGAGGGCCAAATCTGACACTGAACCGGCATCCGGGGAGATACCCACTAAACTGCCCAATATGATGAGGAAGTCCGCCAGTGCGAAGTCTACGTTCGTGCATTTTGAGGAAGAAGTCATTGTTGAGTATCAGGGGTCGGCAACCAAAGGAGGTTGATGATAAGGTAGATTCCAAAGCAGATGATTTCATCAACAGGTTCAATAATCAACTGAAGTTGCAATAGATTGATTCCATTGTTAAGTACAAAAAGATGATTTGGGGACTAAGCGCAAAACGAATTAAAATGAATTCAATGATTTTCTAATTTTAATTTGCCATTGATTTTAGGGGGTCTATTGGATACAATTTAATTATAGATCTAATATCTTCTTCCGGCGTTAGCTTCCATCCAATAGGTCCACCGTGGAGCAAAATCCCCACACTTGTAGGTCTGTGGAGGACCTTCATACTCCCACTCAATATTGCATCTATCCTCAAAATATGTTGTTTCATTGACTATTTAGAGCTTGAAAAAGAAGCCATGCTTGATGAATTGTAGATCTTCAAGGAATAGTGTTCAATTTTTTAAAGGATGAAGAAGGGAAGAAGACGATAAAAGCTAGCAGAAATAAAACCATGTTTTCATTGATGATTTAGAGCTTAACGAAGAAGCCATGCTTGATGAATTGTAAATCTTAAAGAAACAATGCTCAATTTTTGAAAGGACGAAAAGGGGAAGAAGACGATAGAAGTTGGAAAAAATAAAACCTGGCAAAAATAAAACCCTAGATCCCCAAATCCCAAATTTTATTTCCCTAGAATTTAAGGGCACAAAAGTAACTTTAGGGCATTTGTCCAGGTGGCTTGTCCATCTCAACATCCATCTCAACACAAAAAATGCCACATCAGACGCAGAAGAAGAGTGGGTGAACGGACTGTTAAAAGCTAACAAAAGGATGGTGTTTGTGTTAACAGAGGGAGTGATTTGCCACTGCAAGTGAGTTGAGGGGGTGATCTGTGCGTCAAATGGGTTGAGGGGGTAATTTGTCACCAGTGGATGAGTTAAGGGAGTGATCTGCATGTTTTGCCTATATATAAACATGTAATGGCGTAAATACTTCCTCCAATTAGTCCGGAAAATGTAAAAAATGTGTATTTAATACTTATGATCAAGACTCATTGACTCGAAGATTATCGTGGTTGACAAGGAATTGATACTTGATAGTCAACATCACAATTAAAATTGAACAAAGACAACGTACTCCGTACACCCCACAGAAATCGGCCCACAGAGCTAGAAAATTCAATTATAGCTTTGTTGCTTGAAATTGAGAAGTCTGCAACATTGCAGGGAACCTTTGCTGCAAACCTGGTGAGAAGTTCGTAGCGTTTCCAAGAAAACGATGAGATTTGCTGCTTGAGAAAGTTCATTCAAGCGAGATGTAAATTACATTTAATTATGTAAACTGTATCATACATTCTGTACTGGAAAGATAACTCTCCTTGGGGCTTAAAACAGAGAATCATTCTAACATGACAAATTGACAACCATAAATAAAGTTCAATATATATTTTAAGGGTACTTATGGGATTGCCCTA